TTCATGTACTCCTCTGCCAAATTGAGCTCAAAGGTCTTATCAATGTGGTATTACATCACAACTTTACCTCAAGTGTGGACTCACTTGTACAGTGTCCATCACTTGTACCCTTGAAAATCATCATTCTGAAGGGTCCTTTGAGGTGGACAGTTTTGAGCACTTTGGCTTGGAACAATCCCTTAGTGGCACACTTTGTTGATTTACAATGGCAGCCGTGTATGTGTGTCCATTAAGGTTGGCCGTAGGGAGTCATTTTTGCTCTCAGAAGGGTGCTTGTGAGTCTCCCCTTAACTTAAGCTGAATTCGAGGTGAGCTCTGTTGCAGACTTTTAACCAACATTTAAAGTAGCATTACCCCATGAGCTTAGGGTGTCATTTGGGATTGGGCTAACATAGTGACCATGTCTGATCCCTCTTCTAAGTACTCTTTGATGGCAGATTCATCCCATTTGAAATGCTGTGCAACTTACAGTCTACATCAATGGAGATCCGAAAGACATGGGCGGAAATGCTTTGATGCATCAATTAGTGAAGAACGGCCATGACATCTAGCAGATGTTTTCATCATCATGAAGGAAATTATGACAGGAGGAAAAAAACAAAGACATGATAATATACTTTGAGGCCAATCATGCAGATTTCCTTTTTTAAACACAAATCATAGACAGTGTATTGGGATGATTCCAATGGCCATAAACAGACAGTAGAATTCTTCTTCTCCTAATGATGCATGGAATCCTTATTTATAATATTCATAAAATAACAGTGAACTCTTTATATTTCCTCCATGATTCACAGAAGAAGCTCACTAGAATTTTGTTTAGTGTAACAGTAGCTTATATACCAAAAAAATCTTATCAGGTATATTAATTATAGTATATTAATTATATAATCATTGTATTATAAATCAAGAATAATAGCGCAGCCTCAAAGTTAAATACCAGTCATTAAAAATATTTATACTTTTTTCTTTCAAACCACTGGGCATTAATTGTAACCATAAATCTTTAAATCATATTAATAACAATCTGTAAGGTTATTATTAAAAAAATAAGTAAAGGTATTACAAAATAATTACATTTTCATATTTTGAATTGATATGCTCATAAACGATTAAAAAGCCCCTATTATGGGTTTTTGAAAATGACTTTCCATGCAGTGTGTAACACAGCACAGTGAGTAAAAGTGAACGAAAACATCCAGCTGAACGCATTGACATATGAAGTGCCGGTTCCAGTAAAAACATGAACGCGCCTTTTCCTTCAGACACTATCTCTTAGGGTAAATCTGTACGGAGCTATTCACATATTGCATCCAAAATCATGTTGAAAGTGAACACATGACGTGTGTTCACGAACACGATAAGAACATGCAAACTCTGCACAGAGAGTGTCGACTGGCTCAGCTACTGTTTGAACCAATGGCCTTCTTGCTGTGGGGTGACAGTGCTAGCCACTGAGCCACCGTGTCGCCTAATCTTAGAATTGAGGAGAAGGGATGGATGGGGGGTCTTCCAAAACTAAAATGAGGAATAAAGTTTTGGCTGGATATTTATATAAAATTTAGAATCATCCGATTGGCTTGTTAGTGATTAGTGATAGGCATCAGCTGTAGTCAGTCCTATCACATGCTCCTCTCGAAATTAGTTTGTGAAACTTGTAAGAACTGATAGGTATTTATAAGAACTGACTTTTCTAGTAAGGAACATCGACTTCAACATAAAATGTATTTAGTTGATTTTAAAATGGTGTATAATATTGTGTAAAATATTGAATAATGTATACTATTGTGACTGTAATCAAGACACACAGAAATTGAAGGCACAGACACATCTATAGAGATTGCATTATATTTCCAAAAATATATGTACAGTCTATTACAAAGGTTACAAAGCAAAAGAAAAAAATGGTCTATGTAACAAGAAATTGTCTAGGTAAATGACCATACAGTTTCTCAACTGGGGAAAATACTTTTTGACCAATGAATACTCTCCATACTCTTGTCACAGAAAAATAAATAATAAATCAACAATTCATTTGTACTGTACATTTTTTCCAACCTAAAAGAGAAAAGGAAAAAAAAAATCTCCTAAAATGGAAACCTATTAGCTCTCTTTGGTCCTACATGAGAAATTATGTACAACTGAAAGAGTGAGGGTGACGAGAATCGGTTGCATGTGAGATAGAAAAATATAGTGCATTTTCAATGAGCTCACTACAGAGTACTTGAGTGAAAAATAAAAAGAAACAACAATCATAAATAAAATATACAAGTTTTACAGCTAGAACATGTACAAATCGTCCTCTGGTTTGTGATTACTCTGACACAATCAACAGTGCTGAACTCTTTGGAATATTCCACTTCACTTTTGTCTGGGTGGGCTTTCGACTGTCTTTCTAGAAGTCTTTAAAACCCTGCTGCACCGTGAACTCAATCAATCCACAGCACAAACTGTCTTGACCCAAAATTCCACTACTATCAAACCAGAAAAGTTCAAAACGGCACAAAGCAGAAAAGGAGGAAAAAAAATTGACAGATTTGTCATTGACCCGTACGGTGGCCTCAATGTGGGATTGATTGAATCCAGGCGTTAATCTCAAATTGGCTCAAATTGCTGTCTCTACAGGGGCCCCGGAGAGGGTAAGGGCCTGTGAGGGGCCCTCGGGAGGCCGAAGTGTGAGATCAGAGCGCGGGGAGGCTGATCCGAGTGACTGCAGCCACTGCTGAAGCTCGGGAGGTTTGTGCTGACCGAGAGCCTTTCCGCTCGCATTCAATTCAAAGGCCTGGCGTGGGCTCAATGCTGAGGTTAGCGGGATGGAAGGATAGCGGATTGGAGATGGGCCTCTAACCAGGGCACGATATGATCCGCGAGGGACGCACACACAAACCAGCTGGGTTCACAATGGAGATGGCATGGCTTTTTTTGAAGCGCCAAACGTTTGGCTGATCCTCCAACGATGCTTTGCTCCAACGGCTTTCTTTCAACTTAAGGAAAATGCCACATGTTGGCACGGCTGTTGTGGTTAAAGTGGCATTGGCTTCCCAGAATAATGAAAATGTGTTTAGCGTGTTTAAATGTGACACATTAATAGTATAAAATGGTGGCAACCCAGCAAATCAAGTCTAAAAAGGTCTACAGTACTATTTAACACTTAAGGCTCTGATATACTTAAAGCAAAATCGAAAAAAAAAAAAATTATATATATATATATATATATATATATATATATATATATATATATATATATATATATATATATATATATATATATACCAAAACAAAATTCATTTGGGGATTTTAAGGCGTGTTAATGCCTTTAAATGACATTATAAGAAGGTGTGACTTGATGTATTGGTTTAATTTCCTCTATCCATCAAGGTTAAATGTCCATAATGCTTTATAGTAAATATTGAAGTATAATTCTAAGCACTATTTTTATACAATAAAGATGCTTCCTTTAAATCAATCTACTGTATAAAGTGCTATTTAAAAAAAAGCATGACGTGTCTGGGGTGCTGCATTGCAGAGCTGGTGCAAATCTGCTCAGGTAATTCTAACTTAAGCAAAAAAAAAAAAAAAAGGGAGAACGGACTTTGTTGTAAGTATTTCAGGGCCTTAAAATGCGTAACATTTAATTGTCAACGAAACATTCAGTCGAGAGTGGAAGGCTGTTATGGCACTAAAACATCAACATAAATCTCATCTATGAGCTCAGCACACAAAAAAAAAGGTGGAAAAAATGCACCAAAACGTCAAGATCCTCGTACAGTATATAAACTCAGCAACTCTCTTTGATCAAATTTCACAGTACTGCCTCTGACTTCCAAGCAGTCTGTGTAAAAGTCTATACAGCACCTCAAATTATTGCTCATGTTGGTCAGTCTCTCCCCTACTCAACCGTAATCTCACAAAGAAGCTAAGTACCTAAAAATAAGAGCAATAGTTGACTTGATTTAAGGCAGTATCACTCCTTTACACCACACCATTGTATGATTTCAAAATCAGTAACCGGCTAGGAAACTGATACTTAACCAACAAATGATTTTGTTTCCGAAATGAACATTGTTTCCCCCCCGTTTGTGTGGAAACGTGTTTATGGTAAATAATATCAATATTAAAAAAGGACACATTCAATAACAGCACTGATAAATCCATTCATGTGGTAAATATAAACTTATAAAGAATATTGCCACCGTAATTGTTCTTCTTACATTTTAAAAAAGCTCCACCTGAAGTGGTTAGCAAATCTCTTTGTACTAATTCACATCTGAATTGTAATGTAAGATCATAAAATATACCTAATCATCTGCTCGGGCTGTTCTTAAACACAACCAGCCACCCTCAGGAGCTTCACGTATTACCAAGCAGTGGGATATTACTGCTTGATATATAAAAAAAAAAAAACAAGTCGGGCCGACTTTATCTTCTGTCTGGAGAGAGCTTCATGTAAATAGTGCTGGCTGGAGAAGACAAACGTCCTCTGTCGACTTTCAGCCTCTGGTTCTGTCTCTTTCCCTCCAGATGAGACGTTTTACCCTGTTGTCAGTTCCGTAACACAATCCGAGAAAACAAGCTAACACAAAATCAATCGAGTAGAAGAGTAACGCACCACATTGATTAAATGTGGATATTACAAACCAAACGAAATCTCCAAATTCACTCCTTATGAACCGGATTTGCTTATTTTATATTTAAAAAAAAACAAAACAAAATCAATGAAATTTATATCAACTATGAGCAAATCAATCTTTTTTGACGATAAAGACAGTTCGTACATAGCATAAAAATACTCTGGAATGCTCCGTCTCAGTGACGTGAAGAGTTCTTGAGAGCATCCGGAGGTCTGTCCGCCTGTGTTCTTTGTCCTCATCTGTGTCCTCGTCTCTTGGTTTTCAGCACCTTCACCCAAATCCTTTGCCAAAACAAAGGAATGATTCTGTTCAGCCAGTTCTGGAAGGTTAATCTCACCGGAAGGGTGTGGAACATTTTTTTTTTTTTTTTTTGAGAAATGTTTAGTTTTTCCGATTTTTGTTTGCTGTGTCACACACTTTGCGGTGCTGTCCTGGAGACTTCTGCTTAATCCAACTGGGAAGGGGCTGTGGATGCCCATCACACTTGAACGCCCGTCCCGTGAAGATGCAACATCTGCGCTCTCATAGTCTGTATACTGCTCATGATCTTCTTCTGATGGCCCACCAAGGAGATTCCCAAACTCATTACGTCCCTAAAGCAGAAACACAACGTTCATAAATCACAGCAATGGAGCATGAAGCGCCCGAGAGCTATTTCATTAGCAAAGCAAAAAAGGAAACTGAGAAAAAGCCATATTAACTACAACACGATGAATCAAAGAGATCTGATTAAAATTCAGCGCAATGTCAGGATGGTATTGTGAATGAGAGCTGAGGGCTGAAATGACTCCTAGAAAGATCATGCATTTCTGTGGAGCGTGACAGTGTGAGCGAGGGATCAGAGCTCTTACTCGATAGTCATTCGAGCCACAGATTCAAGCGAGCTGTAGCCGGCGGCTGTGAAGTTGTCCATGTATCTCTCCATCTTGATGGCTTCCAACCACTCGCTGACCAATCGGAAAGAGGTGAAATCTGGAGTGTTCTGGTCAAGTAGTGGACTTATAGGTCTGAGGAAGAAGAAGATAAACAAAATGCTATAAAAAGAGAAAAATAAGAGCTATAGAAGGTGCAGTATCATTACTAATGGTATATAGTACTGTACTCAGTTAACATAAAAAAAAAAAATAAATAAATAAATATATATATATATATATATATATATATATATATATATATATATATATATATATATATATATATATATATATATATATATCATCAAGTACCGATTCCGTGTCATGGTGATCGGCCAATATCGTGTACCGAGTCTAATGCTTCAAGCTTTATAAGGCATTAAGCACATTTTTCCTCCAAGTATGAACCTTGATAGAAGATGCTGCATATAATACGTTAAATACGTCTCTTAAAACCATTTAGGTTTGAAAATATCATGGCTAGAAGCAGCTTCATTGATTTTACTTCGGCTTAGTCCTTTATTTATCAGGGGTAGCTACAGTGGAATGAACCGCCACAGAAACTTCTTTATTGGTAGAAAATAGGCCTTTAAACTACTGTTTATTGCAATAAGTACTGTATATTAAAAATAGTTATATTATTAACTATTCATCTAATAATTCCAGCCAACTTTTAGTGAACTTGCAATATTGTAAAAAAAATAAATAAATAAAATAAAAAAAATGTGGTTGTTATATGTCGAAAGGCCTAAATACATGCAAGACCATTCAAATATTTTGCTTGTATCCTACGATTGACAACAGATCTCTTAATGAGAGAGGGAGGGATTTACTGCTCTATTCATTTAACCTAACAAATGTAATGCTTAGAACATCACTGTGCCTCTCCCGACCTGTTCTCAGGCTCATTCACTCTTGTCGCCATGATTTCTGGGTGTTTTAACATATTTTTGGTGATCATGGAACCGATTTGATTATGCAGGAGACTTGCGGAACTTCCAGGAGAGGTCATAAGGTTGGATGAGACACTAGATAGCAGCAATCATTCTGCTCGCACCACAGCAGCTCAAAACATAAACGATGGCTGCACTCTTCAAATACACTATTAATAATAAAACTAAGGAAAAACATTTTAAAATACTACAGTTTACCCACTGAAATCAGTATTATTAAAGTACATTGGAATGGAGGACATCTGTAGAGTCTGTAATGCAGATAAAGAGAGCATTTGTCATTTGTCATATTGGCCACAGCCATATCACCCTGCAGCCCAAGACCGGTTACTCACTGAAGCTAAGCAGGGCTGAGCCTGGTTAGTACCTGGATGGGAGACCACTAGGGAACACTAGGTTGCTGTTGGAAGTGGTGTTAGTGAGGCCAGCAGGGGGCGCTCAACCCGTGGTCTGTGTGAGTCCTAATGCCCCAGTAAAAGTGAAGGGGACACTATACTGTCAGTGGGCGCCGTCTTTCGGATGAGACGTTAAACCGAGGTCCTGACTCTCTGCGGTCATTAAAAATCCCATAGCACTTCTCGTGAAAGAGCAGGGGTGTAACCCCGGTGTAACTCCCAATCATCCCCTTCCACCGAATTGGCTCGATCACTGTCTCTCCACTCCACCTATAGCTGGTGTGTGGTGAGCGCACTGGCGCCGTTGTCCTGTGGCTGCCGTCGCATCATCCAAGTGGATGCTGCACACTGGTGGTAGTGTGGAGAGACCCCCCCTCATGATTGTGAAGCGCTTTGGGTGTATGGCCATACACAATAAATGCGCTATATAAATACACATTACATTACATTACATTTATTTTTTGAATGCCATGTTGTAAACAATTTCTGGAAGGATCTAGCCAAATATATATTTAAAATGACAAAACTTATTTTAAAGGGCGAGGCAGTGGCGCAGTAGGTAGTGCTGTTGCCTTACAGCAAGAAGGTCGCTGGTTCGAACCTCGTTTCAGTTGGCGTTTCTGTGTGGAGTTAGCATGTTCTCCCTGCCTTCGCGTGGGTTTTCTCCGGGTGCTCCGGTTTCCCCCACAGTCCAAAGACATGTGGTACAGGTGAATTGGGTAGGCTAAATTGTCCATAGTGAATGAGCGAATGTGTGTGTGGATGGGTTGCAGCTGGAAGGGCTGGAATTTAATGAATGAAAAACTTTTTTTACATTAATATATATATATATATATATATATATATATATATATTTTTTTTTTTTTTTTTTAATTATTATGAAAACAAATCCAGCAAAACTGTTGAATGCATTATTAATCTCCTTATCTTATTGGAAAAATTGTACATACACAAACAGACATTTGCTAAATCATCTAAATATATATATATATATATATATATTACCATTGTTGTATCAGTTTTTAATGTTTTATCTTTAATATGTGTTGTATTTTTGTTCCTGATGGTTTATGCAATAAAAAAAATACAATGGCTTCACTTGCAACAAAGAGACGATCACTCGCACAAGTCACGTCATTAAACTGTAAACAGAGAACGCACCGCATCTGTATATGTTTTAGCTATACTGTGACATATGTGCAGCAATAGCTCACGCCCCCAAGGATCATTCACCTACTGCTGTGGCTGCTGTAGGCTATGCATAATATAAAGCAGCAGGCGTGTGTCTTCCTCTGCTTTTAAACTCATGTACAAACACTTGCAATCGGTTCATCAGATTGGCCAGATCGGCAAGGTCCGATTGAGTCATAAAATGTAACTATCGGCCAATACCGATTTTCCGATCGATCGGAGCATCCCAAATATTAACATTTGTATTTAGAAAATGTATGTAGTAATTATCGATTTCAATAAAAATAATTGCTGAAATGATTAATAAAGCTGCGGTCGCACTGCACTTTTCTCCCCATAGACTTCCATTCATACATACGCGAATGCTTTAGACCGGAAACGCAAGCTTGTGCGACAAATTTCGCATCTCGCTGGGTTGCAAAGTTCAAGCTTGGTGAACTCTGACCTGAGAAATTGTATTGCTTGACTGCGTGAGGATCAAAACATGACCTCTCTGGACAGAAATTTTAAATATGAACCAATCGCTCATCTTGTTTAATCCCGCCCCTTTTCGCAGAGCCGTACAACAGAATTCAGCAAGCTCAAACTCTAGTGTGACTGCGGCATTATTTAGATAAAAAATAGATACTATATTGACTAAAAATTCTATTTTATAGTTAAATGTAAAATACTATCTATCATTTAATCATACATTTCTAATTGTAATTTGACATCTGTCAGTACATTTTAATTATGCATGCCAACAACAGCTACATACATGCTTAGATAGATAGAATCCTTGTGTTGTTTTTGTTTGTTTCACTGCATGTAATTAGTTGTCTAATTCAATTAAAATGAACGACTCGTAGCTGAAAACTACATTGACTTAATTGAGCAATATTAGAAAGCTGCCTGCCATAATTTAATTCGTTAATTTAATATCCATTTTAATTGGGTATGAGATGTACAATGACATGATATTTTTTTTTTGCAGTTGTATAGCTAATAATGAATTGTAACTCAGATTGGTATGGCGCCAGACCTATCTAACATGAATTACAGTCAATGAGACTAGGCTTATTACGTTCACATTTGTACTGACTAAATGAACTGCTTGCTTTGCATTACTTGTCACAGGAATGATTAAGGGAGTTTAGATGAACTACAGGATTCTTCCAAAAGTTTTAAAGGTCATCTCTTTAGTGTGAGACGCAGATCCTGTTATGATTGTAAACACACTTCCTCTCGCTAATACCACACCGAGGGCTGAAATTCCCTCAAGGCTTTAAAGTCTCAAACACTCATTATGACAATTGATTTAAAGTCCTTGTTATCGAACATAAAGGCATGGAGGCTGTTTCGCTTTATTGATTCCCCGGGATTTATCTTTCATCAGTAAACCCTAGCGGATAAATCAAAAGCCGGACAGATGGAACTGTTCGCAAATTTACTTGTGAACACATAAAAGGGCTCAGAGATGTTGCAGTGAGGTGCAGGAGTATAAAACATAACAAGCGTCTTCCATGCATCATAAAAATAAAGCTGGTGCATGAACGGTATAATTTTCCGTTGAGAAAAGTGCTGACAGTATAAAAAGAAATACAAAATTCTGATACTTTGTGCAGACTTTAACAAAATTAACAAATATTGTCCATTTCATACTTTTGTGATACCATGATGTTTTCCCACATTAAATAATACTATTTTACGAATATTAGACTTTTGTGTTTGGACAGTTTAATATAAATCATCTTTAGGTTATCGCTTCGAGCAGGGGTTCTCAATCTAATTCCTGGCGCTGTAGTGTCCTGAAGATTTTAGCTTCAACCCCAATCAGACATACCTGGGTTAGCTAATCAAGCACTAACTAGGCTTTCTAAAAAAATCTGTCCAGGTGTGTTGAAGAAAGTTGGAGCTAAAATCTACAGGACACCGGCTTTCCAGAACCGAGTTTGAGGTTTATATTTTTTTAAAAGTTGCAGAATACATGTTAATTTCATCTGTGAAAAACACCTAAAGCTAGTGTAAACACTAATTGCAGTGTACTATACATGGCACATCTATAGTTGAATCCAACGCAAAATCAACAAAAAGCTGCGATCTTGCAGAATTCTTAATTATAAAGCCAAACAATGGCAAAAAAATGTCAATAATCTCATAAAACATCCAATTCCAAAACATATAATCAAATCATATTTATTTCAGTTGGCAATTTATTGTTTTAAGTGACTTATAGACATTGCAAACGCAGAACACAGAAGGTATTTGAGTGTTTCTCGAAAAATGATGTCTCACCTGCGCCCTCACAATCATTACAATACATAGAAGGGGAGAAGTGTTTTGCTGCCTGTGCAGTTAGCAGAAGTGGATGAAGCGTAACTGATTTACACGTGAAGTCAATGCAAAGATTGAAGAGATTAGACATCCTGTGCAGCGAATTGGGCATTTCAAGGATGACAGCCGCTGGACGTGCCCGAATTGAAGGACATTATTTGTGCTTTACATGTATGGCTGGTATTATGACGTGCACCAAATCGATAAATTATTTTGTTTTACTTTTTCCTGCAGTTAACGAGAGAAAGCCCTTTCCTGCCATTGACTAGTTTTAGGTGTATTACGCCCCATTCACATTTAATGGGTGGCGTCAGGCATTGCCGAACTGAATTGTGGGTCCGTTGGCGCTGCTTCAGCAACATTGCTTGCTGCAGAAGTTAGAAGTTCTTAACTTTTCAAGCATTAGCAGAAGTGTCAGCCAATTAGATTGCTTCATGCAAATACCCCAGCTTAGGCAGTAGTCGATTGCGGACTTATTTCATTGGCTGACGTTACTATGACAATTGCATCAGCCCCAACTTCAGCTACGCCCACCATCAAGCATTGACACTGAAGCCTTACCACATGTCCTATGTGTGAGGTGCATGATGTCAGATGCTCCGGGAAGTGAAATATATATATATATATACAACCTTCCTTTAGTTTAATCCCTACTGTTTTAGATTGTTTTCAGATTTTGTCCTGACAAGAAACCAAAATTAAGAAGCTTTATTGCTTTATTTTTATGATTTGTGTCATAGTCGTTGTGTCAGATTGCACACCTAACATAGTAGACTACCTAATATGCTAAATAAGATTTATTATATATTTATTTATTTTTTTAATTAGCTTCAGTTTTGTGATGAAAGACCTGCGTTATGTCCTGACAAATGGGCAGTGGGTGTAGGTGGTGCTTTTTTTGTTTTGGTTCAGTTTCAATAACATTCACCTCTAGCATCTTCTGATTGGATACTATTTATAGATTATGGTTGTATTTGGAAATAACTCATTGGCAGAAGCTCACTGTTCCTGAAATTAGAAATATTTGAAGTGAAAAAATACAGAATTTTGTTTTACGTGCAAATGCCAAATTATTTAGTTTGTTTTTTATTTTATATTTTGAAATTACATGTTATAATATTTTTTTATGAAAACTTGAGAGAGAGAGAGAGAGAGAGAGAGAGAGAGAGAGAGAGACGAATGGAAATCTGTATCAGAATCTACCAAATTTCTTATAAAAATGTAAGCAAAAAAATTGAATGTGCATCCTCACCGTAAACACGTTCCCATTGGCGTTTTTAAGGTGTTAGGGTTGCGGATCATTTTATCCAAGATGCCTACAATCTGGTCAAATTTGGGCCGATCGGCTCTGTCTTTCTGCCAGCAGTCCAGCATGAGCTGATGGAGGCCAGGAGGGCAGTCCATGGGGGCGGGAAGACGATATCCCTCCTCTATAGCCTTTATGACCTGAGAGAGATGGAAAATCACAAACGGTGTTAAAGGAAACCAAGAGGTTCAGAAATGGCCAGCTTAGCTGTTAGCATCAAGACAGAAACACACAAAGCACCTTGGACTTTTTGCCCATTAACAAAGAGTTGTTTTAAGCATAATGTAAAAAAAAAACCACCCAAAAATACACTTCTGTTTCTTCTTACACTGCTGTTTGTTATCTATTCGCAATTTGTATCTAGATTTCAAAACATTTGCCTAAATTACAATTTATGTTTTTAAATGAGTTGTTATTTCTCGTACAATGCCATAAATCATCTCAGGACACATTCATTTATTTACATAGAGGGATATGTTCATACTATACTTGTATTTTAGCAAAAAACAAATCTATTTTCTGAATTACAGTTTTATAAAAGTAGATTTCTCAAAATATTGTGTGTAAAAACAAATAAAACCAACATTTTGAACCTGACTTCCTGACATCCAGTGTTCAGGTTTTTGTGCTAGAAATGTAAGCAAATTAGAACATAATTAATATAATAATGCCTAATTTATTATATTTAAACAACATTTTATAACACATGTTATACAAAAAAAAGTTTGCAATGCATAATATAATCAATCAACTGAAGAAGCATGGTGATAACTTTTATTTTTTACACTATTCACCTCCAGCTCTCACCCTTTAATCAGGAGTCTGTAAACAGTGGTTCTGCTGCATAAATGTGTTGTGGTTTTACCTCCAGCATAACACACTCCAACAGAGAAGAAGCAGACTAACCAGATGTGATTACTCTTGCGCTGGTTATTGGAGGGATTGTGAGCGTAAGGACAAGGCAGAACTAAAACCTACTGCACTAAAAGGCGTCTGTTGAACATCTGCTTGCGTGGTCATAACATTGTGAGACTTTGTAATTAACTAACTACAGTAAGAGGGTTATGGTTTAAAGCAATGATGGACACATGGTTGCTTGGGTGTTTGTGCAGTTGACTGACTCCATGTGTCAGGTTTATTAATGTAAAGGGACCATAATGCAATGTAACCACCTGCTCTCTCCCTCACTCATTATACCTGGTATTGAGTTGTGAACAATGTATATTAAGAATTTTTAAACCATATGAATAAAATATTTTTAACAAATTTTTAAACATAATGCTTTAAATAACTTACTTTAATGACAGTACATAATATTTTACTATAGATTTAAAGTGTAATTTAAAGTCTTTTTTTTTGTGAGGATTTTTTGTGAAGTGTGAGGAAAAAAAATGGGGGTGACTTAAAACTAATTTTATTTACAAAAAAAGCCTGTTATACCAAAAAAAGTGTTATATTATATTATATTATATTATATTATATTATATTATTATATTATATTATATTATATTATATTATAATATATTATATTATATTATATATTTCTTAGTATGTATGCAGTAAATTAATTAAAATTATATTATTTTATATTATATTAGTAAAATAGTTATTAAATATATGAAAATAACTGTAACTAAAATATAAAATAAGCAAATCTGTTAATGTCTGAAAAACTGATAATGTCCTGGCAGTAAATTACTAAGGTGTTTTCTATTAAAAAAGTTTTATTTTTTTAATTACTACTTATGTAGTTACTTATTTTATTTGTTATTGAGAAGTACATTTTGCTGTACTATAGTTATAATGTTGGCCTATATTTTGTTTCAATTTCTTAAATTTAAATCAAAATGTGATGCAATGTGGTGAATATGCTAAAATTATACAGTTTGTGCCTATTTATTTTTCAAATAAACATGGCTTTGGTGTTCCTAAAGAGTTTAAATAAATAAATGAAATCTTACCAACCTCAACTTTTGAATAGTAGTGTGTGTGTGTGTGTGTGTGTGTGTGTATATATATATATATATGTTACAGTAAAAATGTGGAAATATAAATATTGTCTCACAACTAGCACCTAAATTGTTACAGCTACCAGAATATGAGCTCACTAAACTAAAACAAAGAGCCGGCTTGTCCAGATCTGTGATTTCCCTCTTTGTCTACTCTTGAGGAATACTAGACTGTTTATTTTCCCCGAATCCTCATCTGCTATTCTTGTCGTGTCTCTCCAAACAAGGCTTGAGCTACGGAAAAGAAAAGTGTCAAAACAGAAAGAGTTGAAGAAATGTAAATATTTCCTTCTTTTTTAGCAGCCCTCAAGGAGTTGTTCGCCTCTGCCTCAAAAAGGGTATAAAAACATCTGACGTTGAGGCCTGACAAGTACCAAGACTCCACCGAGGCAAACGTTTGAACAGAAATAAAAAAAAGTACCTAAAAAGTCTGATGCTAGCTAGCTAGCTGCTAATACAGAGCGCTAACGTGAGCAGGTAATTACAAGACGTCATTAGTTTCTCTGATAAGGCTTGTTTACTTTCTCAGAGGATGTTCAAGCTTGAAAAGAAAAATCTGCCGTACACAAGACAAGTGCCTTCATACACCGCCAGATTAACAGCATTTCCCCTCATACATATGATTAGCCGTGACCGTATCTGAATTTCAATCCGGTTCAACTTGAAAACCCTGCACGCATGTGATCAGAATGATGAACGGCACTTTGCTGTCCCAATTTTCTTTGAGACAAAAGCTCGGCCCGCGGATCGTTCAGAAGGTTTTGCATGGCTAAGCAGATATCTTTAAATTGATTGAACTCTGCTAATGATGAATTTGGCTCGCATTATCATTTCTCATTATAAAGGTTGAAAGTGTGGCGGAATACATAAAAGGAATTGTACAAGCAAAAAACATTCCGTTGGTTTCTGCGGATCCATTAAAGCTTTTTATCCTCAAAATGTATCATTAAAACAAGGTCAGTCGTGACACCTGTGTTGATACGCAATGAGGAAATCCAAAGTGTCAGATGTGCTTATCTGTCCTGCTTCTTCAGTACCTGCAGATTATCTTCACCTCATAACTATGGACTTTTAATGCAAGCCATGGTTTTGAAAGACGTACTAATAAGAGAGCTGTCTTTTCTGCTAGAAGAGCCTTGATGAAGTAAAAAAAAAAAAAAAAAGATGTGGAATAAATTTAGGTTTCCAACTTGTTTAATTTAAACCACGAGAGACAGTTGAATGTGATCAGACATGTACTGTAGAACGGCTGCATTATTAAATATAAATCTATAAATGTAGAAGGAATTTAAAACCAGGTGAGCACAGAATATGCACACTGTATGCCTTTAGTGAATGCAAAATGTGTGTGTGTGTGTGTGTTTATTGTAAAAATTGCAAGTGTAGATGTGGATAAATAAATGCATATTTATTTATTATATTAAATGACATTATTATATTATATTATATTATATTATATTATATTATATTATATTATATTATATTATATTATATTATATTATATTATATTATATTATCTGGGGTCGCCACTTATCCAGCATATGTTTCACGCAGCAAATTTCCTTCCAGCTACAACGCATTACTGGGAAACATCCATACACACTCATACGGTCAATTTTAGCATACCAAATTCACCAGAAGGTCACTGGTTGAGCCTCGGCTGGGTCAGTTGTTGTTTCTGTGTGGAGTTTGCATGTTCTCCTAGTGTCCCCAGGTGCTTCGGTTTCCCATACAGTCCAAAGACATGTGGTACAAGTGAATTGGGTAGGCTAAATTGTTTGTTGTGTATGAGTGTGAATGAGTGTGTATGGATGTTTCCCAGAGATGGGTTGCCGCTGGAAGGGCATCCGCTGAGTAAAACATATGCTGAATAAATTCGTGGTTCATTCTTCTGTGGTGACCCCAGATTAATAAAGGGACTAAGCTAAAAAAAAAAAAAAGAATGAATGAATGAATGAATGTCTGCCACTTACCATCATATCATCTTATGTCATATTTCATATCATTTCATATCTTTGAAACAGTGTACCTGATTAGAGATTATTACACTGTTATGAAGTAAAAATGTATCGATTTTTATTAGTGATATAAGTTATAAAGTGGCAATAATATCGTCTATTGCAATTAATTTGGGTGCAATATATCACCCAGCAAAAAATAGATAGCGTCACAGCCCCAGAAGCAACCCAATTCTAGTTAACTTTATCAATTTAAGTTGGGACATGAAGGAATTGTGTGGAACCCAGATTTTTGCAGTGCAGAACCACTTACTGTATTTTTTCTAAAACCATAATATAAGTATAAAAAACAAACAAACAAACATGAAAGATAACTTACGTCTTGATTGGACATGTCCCAGTAAGGCCGTTCCCCATAGGACATGACCTCCCACATTACAATCCCATAGCTCCACACATCACTCGCTGATGTGAATTTACGATACTGGATGGCTTCCATCGCCGTCCACCGAACCGGGATCTTTCCCCCCTGTTTAGTGAAGAACAGATTCGTGTAAAACCACAATGAATGATCCAGAGGAGAGTCAGAAATCAGTTTGTTTGTTGTTCAGTGAGATCCCAGCTTCACAAAACACCACAGACAGTATCTATATTTATACTCCTATCTGATGCCTGCATTGATTTGTTTATTCTGAGAGCGCTGTGGGTTGTGTGATGAGACGGAGGATTAATTGACTCACCGTTGTTGTGTAGACAGCCTCGGGATCGTCGTCAATCACTCTGGACAGGCCGAAGTCAGACACTTTACATACGAGATTGCTGTTGACAAGGATGTTTCGCGCCGCTAAATCGCGATGAACGTAACCCATGTCTGAGAGGTATCTCATCCCGGCTGCGATTCCGCGCAACATTCCCACCAACTGAATCACAGTGAACTGCCCATCATGTTTCTGTGAAGGAACAAACAGAAACAAAAAAATCTGTTTTCCTGTTGCAATTAACTGCAGAAGCTTTAATCATCAAAAAGGATTACTTTGAACATTAGATTATTATGCCTGTTAGAGTAAATTAAATGCTGTAAACACATTAGAAAGTAGGGTTGCCACGATACTGGAATTCGGTTCTAATTGATACTGAAAATTTAAAAACGCCCACTTCCCGCTAACATTTGAGAGCTGTTGAGCCCTTTTTTAAACACCACTGATTTGCCATTGTGATGAATCACATCTTTAAAACGCTCCAGTGTCCCTGTATCTGATGTTACACTTAGTAAACAGCGGTGATTTCGTGGGAAAAGGATTTTTTTTTTTTTTTACATTTCAGTATTGATCGGTAGCAAATTCCAGTATCGAGACAACACTATTAGAAAGTACAATAAGTAACACTAAAGTCTCATTAGAAAAGGTTAGTTTTAACGCATTTTAGCCCTCCTGTGAAATTGTTGAAAAAATATCTATTTCCCAATATAAAATAATATTTGGCAATCGTTGCTTAACAGAGTGATTTTTAAACACATTTTTAAACAAAAAAGTTTTAAGAACCACTTTTTTATCTTCACCATGCTGCAAAATATTTGTCTAGTTGTTTTGCAAGATACTAGTATTCAGCTTAAAATGCAATTTAAAGACTTAACTAGGTTCTTATGTTAACTAGTCATGTTAGAAAAAGTTATTGGGTAACATTGGTTTGTTTTGTAGATAATCAGAAAAAAATGTTTCTTAAGGGGACTAATAATATTGAACTTAAAATAAATAAATGAAAAATAAAACACTGCTTTTATTCCAGCCAAACTAAAAATAAAAATAAATAAATAAATAAATAAACCAACACATAAATAAATAAACAAACAAACACTGCTTTTATTCCAGCCAAACTAACAATTAAAAATAAATAAATAAATAAATAAATAAATAAATAAACACTGCTTTTATTCCAGCCAAACTAACAATTAAAAATAAATAAATAAATAAACACTGCTTTTATTTCAGCCAAACTAACAATAAAACAAAAAAGAACACTGCTTTTATTCCAGCCAAACTAACAAATAAAAATAAATAAATAAATAAATAAACCAACACATAAATAAATAAACAAACAAACACTGCTTTTATTCCAGCCAAACTAACAATTAAAAATAAATAAATAAATAAATAAACACTGCTTTTATTCCAGCCAAACTAACAATTAAAAATAAATAAATAAATAAATAAATAAATAAACACTGCTTTTATTTCAGCCAAACTAACAATAAAACAAAAATGAACACTGCTTTTATTCCAGCCAAACTAACAATAAAAATAAATAAATAGACAAACAAATAAATAAATAAACAAACAAACAAACATTGCTTTTTATTCCAGATAAACTAACAATCAAAAATAAATAAATGAATAAATAAATAAATAAATAAATAAATAAATAAATAAATAAATAAAAAGATTCCAGAAGAAAAAACATTATAGGAAATACACTGTTAAAAATCATTTGGGAAATATTTTCAAAATAATAATTTCGACATCAACTGTATGTTAATTAGTAAAAAGAGAAAAAAAAAACACTGAATTTTAATACATTTTAACTTCATTTAATGAAACAATTACGACTTCTGATTTTAGTGCATAAATTAAGAAATGAACATCACCAAATACCTTTGTAGTTTTCACTACATTGACTTTTTAATTTAAATTAACTGAATGTAACAAATGAAGCCTTACTGTATAGAGTTGCTAAGCAGAAAATATTATAAATTACCTGATTATTGGGAATGTAATTTTTTAAAAATAAAGTTTTTCTGTGATAAACAACCACTGCCAATACAACGTTCTAAATATTCTTATAAAAGCACTCTGAATTAAGTTTAAAAAATAATTAATTATTCACAGTATTTTGAAGTGCCCATGAAATCAATATTGTGCATGTTTATTATCACAATTTATTGAATTACTGAATATCTGCATATGTCTAATCATGGCCGCCCAACAGCACACAAAGTAACACGGCCTCTCCAGAATGAGCAGTGAAATGGCAAATCGCAGTGGGTGTAATGAACAGAACAGAAAAGATATTGTATTCACTGACCAGATTGTCTAGGGTGGTTTATACGTACCCTGAGGAATGCATCTAATGAGCCATTTTCCATGTATTCAATTACTATCATGACTGGTTTTCCTGAAAGAGCAAAGAACAGACTCCATTAAAGTGAAGTGCGGCCAACACACACTGTACAAGAGCAGTAATGAGAAACAATTCGCAGATGATTCTACAACACTGGATTCACTTTAGCCTTTCGACAGGACTTTTCATAAACATTTGCGGACTGTACGGCCTCCAAAAATAATAATAAAGCACCCTGAGCTACAAATAATATTATCCAAATTATAAAATCAAATCATAACAACATGACTTCAGAACTGAGCTTACGGTAAGTCATAATTCTTGAGTTTAGAAGATTAATAGCGCACTTTAAAAGTTCAATTTCAGTCAGACTAAAGTCGTAACTTGTCTTGTTTAAATGTCATATACACGCTTTAGTCTTAACTGAGGTCACACCAGTCTGGTTTCTGCAAAGTTAGACTAATGGACAGAGATAATATATGATTGCAGCTGTTTTAAGCTGTTTTATTGTTTGGTGTTTTTAGTTTCTTAGATATTATATTTCACATTCTACAGATTGACCAGGCCCTTGTGAAATAGAAATACAAACTTTTCAAAGTGAATGTAATATTTTTGGACATTTAAAAGGTTCTCACAAACTAAAATAGGAAACATTGTTAACACTAAAATAAAAAGTGAGCAGCATCCCATTTTTATAATAATAACAACACTGACTGGCAAGTACAAAATAAGTTTTAATTTGTTTAATATACATTTGAAAACTTTTAAATTATTTTAAATTAAACTGTTATAATTTGTAATGTGGCTGCATGATGGCGCAGTAGGTAGTGCTGTTGCCTCACAGCAAGAAGCTAACTGATTAGAGCCTCGGCTGGGTCAGTTGGCGTTTCTGTGTGGAGTTTGCATGTTCTCCCCATGTTCGCGTGAGTTTCCAAAGACATGTGGTACAAGTGAATTAGGTAAGCTGAATTGGGTAAGCTAAATTGGCCATAGTGTGTGTTAATATGTGTTTGTGTGTCTATTTCCCAGTAATGGGTTGCAGCTGGAAGGGTATCCGCTGCATAAAACATATGCTGCATACTCATTCCGCTGTGGCAACCCCAGATTAATAAAAGGAAAAAATGAATGAATGAATTAATTTGTAATGTCATTAAGGATAATTATTAATGTATTAATAATATAATAATATATAACATAATTCATTGATTATATTTCCATTATTAGCACATGTTGCTAGTCTTAAGGTACCAATGCAAGTTAATCTACAAGAAAACAAACATTTATCTTGGCTATTTTGAATGAAAACCTGATTATTTGCTTCTGCTTTGGAATGTCATTGCTTTTTTGAGAATGTCAGTTTGACAATTTGGGTTTCAACAACTCATCTCTAACCTTTATTTGATGTGTTAAAGAGATGGCAAGGATGAGTGCTAAAATAAAACTGCAATATACTTTGTGTTTTGCAATCAAAACTCTTTTTATTATTATATTTCATTTGGAAATATGTGACTGACCTACAGTTGACTCAAAGTGAAAATAAAATGTTCTTATGTTTCATTAGAATTGTAAACTTAAACTTAATGTAATGCCTAATATTGATTACAGAGTATGAAAAAAACTTTCAAAAGATTATGTAAATCTGATATTATTTATCTTATTATTGTTATTAACCTCATGTATAGAAAGATCCCATGCTGCGACCACTTGTTACTATTCAAACCCGAAATTATTCATACACCTGGCCAATTTGTATTTAAGGTTACTTTAATTCAACCAGCAAGTTTTTAAAATTTATTTCTTATTTAATTATATTATTTCTATTTATTTATTTTTTTGACCGTAAATGACACAGGCTTTTCCCAAAAGATAAAAAGATTTCAATTTGGAAATTTCTTTAAGTAACTTAAAATCACAGTTTGCCTGTTTGAATTTATTTTAAGTCAGAATTTGTATTTATAATATATATATATATATATATATATATATATATATATATATATATATATATATATATATATATATATATATATATATATATATATATATATACATTTTTTTTTAAAGTCTAATCTTAGTGGGATGAGTTTGGGTTAAGTCCTATGTAAATAATATTCTTATCTTTAAAAAAGCGAAATGCTATTAATTTAATACATGGCTCAACAATAAGGACTGCCCGATGGCCCGGGGCCAGCCTGTGAGATGCTTGGGACAGTAGACAGGATCATTACTGGCCCGATCTGATCTTATAACAGTTTATGCTTTTAAGCCTCAAATTCTACCTTCTCTGTGATGTCGTAAACACCATATTGCTACTCAGTTCTTCTTATGTGATTGGATGGTGTGAGCATGTTATTTTCTCCAAAACCCTTATGACAACCAGAACAGGGAAGAGGTGGTAACATAAAATTATGAGGCTAAAGGAAAACGTCTGTTTCTAACGTCTTGAAAGCAGATATGCATGTGGGTACAACGTAATGAAAAAATGAAGTGATGTTTTGCACAGTTAGCTGTCAGTTTGGCAAGTCAGTTATTGGTAAATAATTTAGAACTGCAATAAAATAACTGCACATTTCCATATTGCTCTTTTTGTTTGTATAACATTTAGAATTTTGCTCAACACACATTTATTAAATTTTTTTAAAATATTTATATTTTAGATTTGCACTGTTTTTGGCACATTATTCAAAATATGTGGCTAAGAAATAGCTATTAACTTTTGGTGGGGCCAAAGAAAATTTTGGCAGGGGAAGTAAAAATCTTAACCGCTGACCCGATTGGGCAAGTTTAAAAACTCTTATTAAAACCCTGTAATAATAAACAAATATCAGCATTTAAGGAAGTTATGTATAAATGTTTGTTGTTTTACAACATAAGGCTGGCTAGGTAAGAAGCAAACAGATTTGTTAAAAGTGCCCACCTCTTGTGACGACCCCCTCTAGATGCACCACATTAGGGTGATCAAACTGCCCCATAATGCTGGCCTCACATAGGAAGTCTCGCCTCTGTTTTTCAGTGTAGCCTACTTTCAGCGTTTTAATGGCCACCGACACGTCCCTCTTCCCCGGCAGCTTGAGTCGTCCACTGCACACCTCTCCAAACTCTCCTGTGAAGCACAAAACCACCCGCAAGCTGAGTTTAAAGTGATCCGGGCCAAGTTAAACGCGTCACCTGTACCTGTGCTGCTTCATTCACATCCGTCACGCTAGCAGCAGCATTCATGCTATGCGTCAGTACACTAGAGACCTCAGATAATTGGATATGCTACATAGAGGACGCGCTAACACAGTTATACGCTTTATAACTAAAAGGGATGCGGCAGCAATTCATCAATGGCGATGCATTTATGTGCATCCTGGCCTTAAGAGAAGACATATTAATTATAAAGCAATCTTACAGCGGCGCTATCAATAACAAGAGGCCAGAGAGATGCTCCGGCCGCTATTGAGAGTGTAAATATTTGGTTGTCATTGTGATAAATGAGCGAGGTGTGCGACTAAAGCGAGGCAGCGGAGAAGACAAGAAAAGAGCTCACCTGCGCCGATAACCCTCTCAATCTTAATGCAGGAGGCGTCCAGCTCTTTGGCGAACTGATGGACGGCCCTGTTCGGGTCCTCGTAGGTTTCAGGGTCAATGTAGGTTTTGGTGCCTGGAAATTTGACTGTAGAAGGGTAAGAGGATTACTGTTACGATTAAATATGCAGACCGCAAACACACATACAAACAGAGAGTTTTACTTGATGGACGGATGCGATTACTGGAGGGTAGAAATGCCGGGCGGTGGGCTAAACAGGGAGATAGAGTGTCAAAAAGGTCTCTTTCATCAAATAATAAAACCTATGCTCTTATTTTTCCTTGCATATTCCGTTGGAAGCGCCATTACATTTTCTTGTTAACCTTCTTACAATGGAGCCGGAAGGGTATTAGCAGTACAGCATGGCAGTGGTGTTCATAGCTGTCACTCAATTGGATAATGGGTTTCACAAGACTGTGTTGTTTCTAGGCAAGTGGCCAACAGAATAATAATAATAATAATAATAATAATAATAATAATAATAATAACAACAATAATAATAATAATAATATTTTTTTATAATAATAATAATAATTATTATTATTATTGCAAAATAATTTTCAATTGCACAAAAATGTAGGCCACATTATTTTTTTTTTGGTTTAGTTTATTATGCCAAGCTAGCAACATATGTCTTTTTTTTTAAAAAGCAACACTTTTTAAGCCCAATTAATGCGTTTGCCCAGTCTTACTATCTAATCAAATCCCATAATTACATTGCTACCTGTCAACTTCCACATTTAAGCTCCATTTAATGAGATGCAAAAACTAATAGGCTACATCATGCTGAGATGAAAACGACTAGAATGGACTGTTGCTAACGAGTAATTAAATTACTAATTTGCAACAAAAGCAATGTCGAAGAACAGGGAGGGAGCCTAATATCCTAATAGCTTCTTTATGGCCATGTCGCATTATAACATGACACAAGCAAACGGGCAGCATTGTGCTCCACTCATATGCAACGGTGGCTGATATTTCCTTTCTTTTTGCCTGCTGTAATTGCTTCGTCCATCTAGGCTGTCAGTGAATCTGATAGAACATGTTTATCACCGCTGCCCGCACAACACGAGCAACAAATTGTGCGTATGGTTACGGTGTTCTCCTTATCTGCCTTGTGTCAAAGCAGTGTGTGTTTTGTGCTTTTGCACTGCTGAGCAGGTGCTCTTTATCAATCTTGTGTTTTTTTTTTTGATGAATACTGCATTTGGTGACACTTTATTTTGTTGGTCCATTTGAGTATCATTAGACTGTCTGCCTAATATCTGTTAATACTGCTCCTTCAACAGACATTTAACTGACTATAAGAAACTTTTCAAGTACATGACAATTTACACTAACCCAAACCCCAACCTAACAGTTTATCTACAATCTAGTGATTTAGTTGGCATGTAGATGCAATGTAACTTAAATTCAACAAATGGACCATCAAAACAAAGTGTGACCCTGCATTTCAAATTATGACTTGCACTTTGGAAACCTCCATTCAAAAGAACTGAAGCAAATTATTTTAAATAACAAGGTTGTGCTATTGTAAAGTTGTGTTTATTTATAGTCTGCTAAAATCAATTTGTCAATTCTAATAAGCAGACTTATAATATAATATGGGTGAACTGCGAGAGGGTTAAAACAAGTCAGAAACATCCATACAAAAATATATATGTATTCTATCGACTCAGCAAAACAAACACAGAATAGGGAAAATATATTAAAAAGAAATAATTGTTTTTATATAATAAAAAATTGACAAATATAAAATTAATAACTATAAAAAAAACAAGTATAGTACAGAAATAGTTCAACGGAATCGAGCATTCTTTCATCAGTTCAGAACCAGAAACCAAAAACCTGATTTTAGATAATGTAAATTCTGGGTTTTTTGGGTTTAAACGCTTTACTCATTGTTTATAGTTTAACTTAAAGGAATAGTTGTCGCAAATTTACTATTTCACAATTTACAAGTGGTCCCAAACCTTTAAAAGTATTTTTTTTAATACTATCAAACACAAAAAAATATATTTTGAAGAAAGCTGAAAACTTGTAACCATTGACTTCCATAGGCTAAAAAAAAAAATACAATGGAAGTCAATGTTTACAGGTTTTCTATTTTTCTTCAACATATCTTAATTTGTGTTCAACAGAAGAAAGTAAGTGAATGGTAAGTAATAGGGATGTAACGGTATTGTAAATACCGTCATACCGCAATATTAATTTTTTTCGATATTACCGAAGTCGCATGACTCGGTAAAACTATAGGTCTTCTGAGAAAATTTGCTCAGGCGAATGAAGCGAACGGGAGGTAGCGAAAACTACAATCCCCATCATCCCTTGCGGTCTGTTGTCGCTACAGATCCAGTAATACGGAAATGGAGTGTGCTGCTAGAAGCGGGGATCAAAAAGAGCTGTAAAACTCTAAGGCCCCTTTTACAAGAGTGCATTTTAGTTTTAAAACAGCGTTGTAGAATGAAAACGATCCGCGTCCACACTCGCGTTTTACCCAGCGTTTCTGAACAGCTCTCCGTCCACACCAAAACGCTGAAAACGCACATCACGTGACCACACACACACTCTCGGGCAAGCGCTCCAGCATTTCTACCCAGATGAGAGCTCTGCTTGTCGGACTGCTCATCAAGCATCTCCCGCTGGATCTGATCTCGCTATATTTGCTAAACGTGATATTTCATTCATCTTGTTGTCTTTATCTAACGACATAGGCCAATTCCCTGACTTTGGTCATTGGAATCTATTAAGTTACTTGTTCACGGGTAACATGTTTTGGTTAAGCGCAAAGATAAGTTAATGATTAATCCAGGTACATTGACTGATCGCTTGCCTTTATTTCCTACAATGTATAAACTTATTGTATGTTATACTTTTATAATTATCGATTATTAAAACTGATATTCAGCAAAAGAGAGGGTGTGTTTCGTATTTTCACTGAAATTGAAAGGAGGCAGTTGTTATCGGCTCCGTTTTGTTATAAATATGGACACAGTGAAGATTACGCTCATATATGCAGCACGACGCCTCAACATTTCTGCTGTCTGTTAAGTTGCTAATATTAAAAAGAAAATAGGCAGTTCCTTATATCATGTTTACATTTTATTGATGAGAAAGTGAAACAACGTAGCCAGGGTGATGTGAATGAATTTATAAAGTACACTGTTCCCTTTGAAGATTTACCCGTGTCCTCGGTATGTTTTCCATATCAAACTGAGAAGGGGGAGACTGCAGCCTTGATCAAACTTGCGAAGTCTTAACTTACAAGAAGAGGATGCAAGACTGAACTGTGTGTGGGCTACTTAATATTGAGGAAAAGCCCCAATCAGATAGGCGAACGTTTGCAGCCCCGCCTCCGTTTTCAGATGTCTCCGTCTTTCCCCATCCACACTGAGACGGAGCAGCAGCGTTTTAGAATGAAAACGGCCTTTCCAGCGTTTCCAAAAAGCTCCGTTTTCGGCGCTCAAGAAATAAGTCATATAAGTCATATCTCTCTTGTCCCAGAAACCTCAGTACCAAATGAGAGGTTTTTTTTTCTGTTTCAGGGGACATTGTAAATGCCCAGAGATACCAGCTTTTACCAGATTATATTTATATGATAATTTTCCTTTAAACCCATCTCTATCTAAGTGAGTGAGTGATTAAATGTTGAATGTGATGAGTTTTCAACAATACTAAATTAAAAACTTAAATTTTTTTTTACATGGTTTAATATTTTTTTGTTATTAAAATTGAAGTTCCTGTTTCAAAGCTTACAGATAGATGGCTAATTTGTATGTCATTGACACTTTTGGCACTTTTTTGGAGTATTTTCATAAGTTTTGTTTTTTCCTGTAAATGATTCAATAAATACCGTACCGTGACATTGATACCGAGGTATTACCGTACCGTGAAATTCTGATACCGTTACATCCCTAGTAAGTAAATAATGAGAGAATATTCATTTTTTTGAACTATCCCTTTAATTCACTACCATTTTTTATCATGCGAAGGATCATTGGGTGTAGGAAAAAGGTGTATTAGCTGTTTTTTTTGGCAGGTTTTGTGCAGTGGTGAAAATATGGCAAGCTGTAATGCCAAGAACACTAGAGAGGTTCTGCTGTCCTGTGTAAGCAAGCAAGCTGTGCCACCTTGAACCTCTGTTTCCAAATCAGCAGTTTGCCTAGAGCGCTGATCATTAGCAGAGCAGGTCTAGAGAGGCCGTCGCCAGCGTTTCTCCAGGGGCTTCATTAGAGACTGCTGAGAGAAAACATCTCACTGGCCGAGAGGTCTGAAGGCAGGGCTTCCCAACCCAGAAGAGTCAAACACCTAGAGGAACATCTGAATGCTCTGAAAGCCCTCTTCAGTTGGAGATCTGAAGATGAAGCTGTTTCCGGAGGGTTACGGCCTGGCTTTGCACCATAGGCGTAACGTAATCTGTGATTAACTGATGCTTTAAAGTATCAGCTTTAAATGCTGCACTGTTCTTAGTGGACTTATCAGAATTTGTGAACTTTAACAGTAGATTTTAGTGTGATTGGTTTTTGAATTATCCAAAGTAGTTTGTATTCAGGTTATGATCATTAACATTGCAGCAATTGCTAAAATCAATGTTTACAATATATAGTTTTAGTCGCAGTAAACTAAACCTAAAACTAATGTAAGTAAAGGTTTATTTATATAGCACCTTTCACAGACATTGCGCCACAAAGTGCTTTACAATAAAAGAAAACCGAAAAGCATGTAACAAAAACATATCAATAAAAGAAAACAAGCTAAAAATCCAAAAACAGAAAGACCAATGTAAAACCAGCTCACCATACTTTTAATTAAAAGCTTGAAATCTTTGAATGCTTTTTAAAAAGTTCAACTGATCCCAGAGTTCTCAGTGCTAGAGGGAGAGAGTTCCAGAGCCTTGGGGCCATAACACAGAAGGCATGGTCACCTTAAGTCTTAAGACATGTTCTGGAAATGGCTAAAATATCTTTTTTAGAAGACTTCAGAGACTGGCCACTGGAATGAGCATGTAAAAGATCTTGAATATATAGGGGGTCTTAAAATGCAGAGCTCTATATTTAATTACCAGAATTTTATGTTGTTTAAAATAAATATTAAATGAAGAACTAAAAGAAATATAAGCTGTAACACAAATACTAGAAAATGAACATGTAAGCTGTACTCAAAAAAAAAAAAAAAAAGATTAAATAAGCAGATAGATAAAGATGAAGGCATTTAACAAAAGTACGGAAAAACAAATTAAATAAAAGTGCATTTAAATTTAATTTAAATTGAAATTTGAAGTTGGTTGAAAATATGTAATTTATTTATTCATTCATTTTCTTTTCAGCTTAGTACCTTTATTATTCTGGGGTCGCCAAAATGAACCACCAAGACTCGAACCAGTGACCTACCTACTGCGCCACTGCGTCACCCCCACATCATTTAAAATAAACGTATTAAAAATGTAATTTAAAAGAAAAATACTATTGCTTTCTGCAGCACTAAAATGTATTACATCTAACTGGCTCAGATCAGACCCACCTATGTATGAACAATGGATCAAAACAATTAGAGAAATTTATGAAATGGAAATAATAACGTATTGCCTTAGACTCCAGATGAATATTTTTGAAGCAAGATGGAACCCAATTCTAAGAATTATGCATAACTCACTTTAAATATACAACACTGATTTAGTAAACAGCCACATTGTATACACAATAAGTATATGAGACATCTCCCCCCCCTTTTTTAATAAATTACTTTAATTTATATTATAGTTTTTTTTTTTACCTTCAACACCATATATATTATTTTAAAATAACACTGCACAAATGTCTTTCCCTTTTTCTTTTTCTCCCTTATCTTTTCAGTATCCATCTGTATTCGTATTGACTATTTCTGATCTATCTTTGATTTTGAGTTACATTCTAATAAAAAAAGTTAAAAAAAAAAAAGAAAGAAAGAAAAATACTGAACATTTTTTAATCTAAGAGGAGGAAGAAAATATAAATATTTGAGTACTGGTAATTTTACACTGCTACTGATTAAAGTTTAGTTTATCAATACTATTAAATGATTGAAATTGTATGATATTCCATTTTCTGCTAATTGCAAAATAAGATATTTAGAAAAATGTTAAACGCTTGTAGCTATTGACTTTCATAGTACAAAAGAAAAATTGTATGAAAGTCAATTATTACAAATTTCCAAGATTTTCTAAATAACTTCTTCAGAAAAACTCAACTTAAATAGGTTTATGACAGAATTACCAAATATGGGTGAACTATTCCCTGAATAACATCAAATATTTCTCAGGCTGTCAACACTGCATGTGACAAAGCATTCATAACAAATCATTTATCTTAGTGTCAACATGACATGAATATTAACAGTAACCGCTTTACTTTAATTTTTCTTATCATTAATATAGATTATTTGTAGCACAACCTTATCTTTGGTTTCAGTTCTTACGAATTATTTTAAAAGGTTCCTAAACTGGTGCTGCTGCCCATCATTTCAGTGTGGAAAAGTTTTCATCAAAATCAGCGTCAAGGGAGGGTCCAGCTGTAATGCCCGACCAGAACATGATCAATGCTGTACAGCGGGGCTCAGTCCTGTCGAGTTTAGTTCCAGTCCTGCTTCAACACACCTGCCTGTAATTCTGAAGCATGAGCCTGAAGACCTTGATTAGCAAGTTCAGGTGTTTGATTAGAGTAGGAACTAAACTCTGCAGGACGGTTCTCCAGGAGCTCCGCTGATGAGTCTGTGTATAATGAGCTGATGAAAGCTGGCACTCACATTGAAAGTAGAGCTCCTCGTCCCCTTCCTGATCTGCCTTACTGTAGCCGCAGTGTCTATAAAGGGAACAAAAAAAAGCAACTCATTAATGTCCTGCGGCGAGCAGACAGATGATTTCAACATAACACGGCTAAAGAGGGCAATTCAGCAACACTCAACCTGGAGAAATGCTGCAAAAGTCTGAATGTTTTTCTTGAAACGGAATAGAAATGCCATGAATTCCTGTTCCGTTCTGTTCTATTGGTGATTAATTCATTAGATGTTAAAGCGGTCATGTTTGTTTTGGCAGGTTTTCTTTTCAAATGGATTAAGTGAAAAGGATTATGAAGAATATTTTATCTGGAAATTATCTTGATTGTTTGAAATAACTCCATAATGAATTGAACTGAGCAAAAAAGCATTTAAGGCATTCAGTGTTTTAATGGACATGCAAGAGAGGGATCTCTGTGTGTGTGTGTGTGTGTGTGTTTGTGTGTGTGCGTGCGTGCATGCGTTTGTGTGTGTATGTGTGTGTGAAGGATTCATAAAAGGTAGATTAACATGGCGAACAATTTAAAATGCACATTAGATCAAAATGATGAAAATTACTGTTGTAACTGAAAATGTTATAGGGCAAAAATACTTCAAAATACAAGCTTAAATAGAATAAAAAATGTATATAAAATTAAGCAAAATAGAAAAGAGTTTATTGTTAAAATATCTAAATAAAATAAATAAATAAATTACTGTACAAAAACAAATCTAAAAATAAAATAATCATAGATAAGCTTACAAAAATACTAAACAACTTGAAGTGTCATAATTATTTCTGCACTGTGATGCAGATGCGGACAATTTGCTATCAGTTCAGTAATAGATCATAAACGGTAACTACATTCTGACTTCATTTATCTCATTTGCGTTATGTCACTGTAGAATACTGTGCGAGGGAGGTAAGCATGAGTAATTAAAACACTCCAACTACTTAAAAACGCAGAAACTCTGCACAATTCACTACGTGTGTGTTTGCTGGACAGTCATTCACTGACACTGAAGTTACAGCAGAAGCCGCTATTTCACTATGAAAGAAAATGAAAGTAAACTCCATTTCTCTCTCTCACTGTAGCCCTATGACCTGCTGGTGTGACATTTCCTCTTCTCTTGGCTGTTACAGCATTACTTCGGGATAGTGTGTGTGTCTGCGGAGTGAGTTTTCTCCACCATGTCTATCATGAATCAGCTGCCGCTTATCAGTGTCACTCATCGGTGAACAGCGCCAGACCGTTAGAGCCAATTGCAGCCCTTTCTGTTGAGCATGTACATTTGTTTGTATAAATGCTCATGTTGTTCTGTGCATGTATTTGAGTTTTTAAATGTACAGTTCACAATTGTATTCATACATTTTTCTTGTGCTGTGAAGTAAAATCTAAAATTGTATAAGGAAAGCAGCGTCAATGCACCGTGATGCACCGAGATATCAAATTGAACCGAATCGATGGCATGATAATCGTAACTGAACCATGAGACAAGTGTAGGTTCACACCTCTATAAACAACCTACTGAAAATGAATAATGTGGGTAAAACATTACCTGAACATGTTCTTGAAATAAAAGTAATAACATGTAACATTTTATAAAATTAAATAAAAAAAACTAAAGTACAAAAACAGAGGTAAATAATGAATCTAAAACTAATATATATATATATATAATGAAAACTGCAAATTGAAGTTAAGGATTAAGCACTAAACTTGAATGATTTTTCCTTCCAATATATTCTAGATTAATTATTTAGACAAATATTTTCTATATTTGCATTGCCAAATTATATCTCTGAATAGGACATATGCAGAATTATGCAGAAGGACTTTTAATTTTTCAGTAACCTGGGTCAAGCGCTTCCGGTGAACTGTATGTCATTACAAAATCACTGTGTTTATGGTCCGTTTTCTTCAAAAATCAACAATCTCCACTGCCTGATTGATGTATATAATATAAAGTGGGTCTAAGAATGTAAAAGAAGCACTGCATTAATTTACATTTTCCCACACCATGTCTTTAAAATATGAACATTTATTTTACCCGAGTATATTCAATGGAGCTTCTGCACAAGCCTGCAGATCCTGACTGGCACGTGCGTGTAAAGGGTTTTTTATCTTCTATCGTTTTAGGGTTGAACAACTAAGCGAATGCTAAAGTCTATTAACTGATTAAATTTTAATTCCATTACAACATCGATGCTGTGAAATGAAATGTGTAAAATTGAAAATAGTCACATTAACCTCACCGGATGTTTATCAGTATGAGAAGAAACACTAGCTGTGCATATATCCTACAGCTTAAATGAAAATTATCCTGCAATCTAAAATAAACAAACAAGTAAATTCTCTTCAATTTCTGAAAAATCATCTTACAATTTGACAACAGTTCATCTGACCAAAAGCATTCGGTATTGATGGACATGCAGGAGAGCAAACATGTGTTTTGTGAAGCACTCGTTTGAGGCAAACACTCCAAGAACAAGACAAACATCATGAGTGAAGTGTTTGAATGAAACAAAAATATAACACTGGTGTTCTTGGACAAACAGGTAGAGACTGGCAGTAGTGAAAGCCAACAGCATGAGCATGATAGTGGTTGGGATCAAGTGGACGAGGGGTGTGATTCCACAGCTATGGTGGCCTTTGAGGGACAGAAAGGCAAACTGAGAGAGCGAACGAGACTCACAGTAGCGGAGAGTCAATGGGGGCCGCGAGAGCGTACCTTCTCCCTATGATGAAGCCGAACACCATGAAGACCAGAATGATGGTACCAGCTACTGCCACCACTGCAATGATGATCACTGGATTCTGCTCACTCGAGATCACTGTGGCTGCAGGTAAAACAAAGGGACAGAAAATGAGATGCCAGATGGAGTTTTAAAAAGGTTGTCATAGTAAAATATGTCACTTATATCGGTTTGCAATGTATTCCTCATACAGTATAGTTATTTACCCTATACTCACATTAATATTAGTGTTTCTGTCATCTACTGTAACATATGAAGTCACAAAACTGACTAAATCCTTCTTTATTACATTTACTTGGATATAATTAATCAAACATTGTCAGTACTGTTTTCTTTTTTTTAAATGCAATAATACAAACAATGACAAAACTTAAAAGTCACTAAAAATAAATGAATTAAATAAAGTATTATTTTGTTAGCTACTTAATACATTGCTGGCAAAACATAGGTTACAATATATGGTAAAATTTTATTTTGATGGTCTATTTGAGTCTTAGTAGACTCAAATAGACCATCTTAATGTTAAAACCTCTCTTTCAACAGACATTTAACTGACTATTAGGAACTTTGCAAGTACATGTCAACTTACACTAACCCTAACCCCAACCAAACAGTCTACTTATAATCTAATGACAATTAGTTGGCATGTAAATACAATGTAATTTAAATTCAACAAACTGAACATCAAAATAAAGTGTGACCCAATACTTTAATATGTGTCTCATGATAAAATGACTACAGTTGCAACTGTTCGTTGTTATTTAAATGTTAATTCAAATTAATTAAAAATAATATGATAAAACAAACAATAATATATAAAAACTCTAATAAAAACAATAAACAAAATACTAATGACAAAATATAAGTGAATACAATTAAGCTGTATTACACTTTTTTGATCCAGTTTTATGTGGTAATATTATAATATTGTGATAGAATTTTTTAATAGAATTATGCTGAAAATAATTAATGATTAATAATGGCTTTTTGAAATTAGCTAGAATTTTAATACAGGTCGATTCCTGTAATACTGGTCCATTTGGCAAAAGAAGACATCAGGATAGTGTGAAGCAAAGCATGGCATGGTAGTAACCCCCTTTTCGTCCTCTTTCTTCAGCAGGGAGGGGCTGGCTCTATTTTAGGGTCTCGCTGAGTGCACGCTTCTACTGTTTCTGAAAGTGGGCTTAATAGTCCCAGATGGTAATACAGTGGCCTGCATTTGAAACAATGACACATTCAGGTTGGATCGCTTCTCGTTAGGTTTGTTTCTCCGAATTCGAAAAATACTGCTCTCATTGACGAACTGCAGACAAAACCGAAACAGAACATCTTATCTGAAATAAACAATGTCTCAGGTGCAGTCTGGGTCAAAAGACTTAATCTGGAAGAAACTGGACCTTGCCTTTAGAGCAAGACACTAAAGGTGAATAGAAAAACATAATAATGATAATCATTTTAAAAATGAACTAATATTTGTCACCATAATTTCCCAGCTAAAAGATTAACTTGAATGTACAATTTACATTTTTGAATCACAAGATTTCTAAAATGTTATCTTTAAGTAAGCAAATAAGACATTATTTAATTAAATATGCACTCATTTGCATAATGTGTATTTTTACATCATATTTTGACAGAATGGAGTGGTATATCTTATTTTATCACCCCATAACAGTTTTTTAATTAGGTTATTTTATACCTTTTTTTTAACTTTTTTTTATACATATTTTTTTCTACATATTTTGTAGAATAAAATGTTACGTATAAACAAATCCCTTTAAAAAAACAGTATGTAGTTAAATGTGTAAATGTGATGTATGTAGTGAAGATTCATGAAAAATGTGGAGACCCGGAAGAGATATGATGATGGGGGAAAAAACTGAATGGGAGGAAAAAAATGGGTGGGAGAAAAAAAAAGACTGTTAAGTAAATATATATATTTTTTAAGCTTTTGCAATTCCTCGCAAAGATATATACCAAGATATTTGCGTTGACAAACACTTCTTGTTCACTTCATACATGTCGAACCCTCCCATTTTTGCCGGGATTCTCCTGTATTTTACCATTCTGTCTCGCTATCACCTTAATTTAAAATATTTTCCCATAGTTTAAAGCTTGAAAGCACGTTGAAATTAATATAAATATGTCTGCATTCACTTTCTTTCCATTAAAGCTGTGCGTCAATCATCACCTTTCCAATAGAAGCTCTGAATCAGTGAATGCATGTACTGTATAAGCGCTGACTGTCGGACGGACGTCAGCGTCTGTACACGCTATTTAAAGTGATTCCTCTGTTATCAAACAAATGAAGATCAGCAAATGAATCTCTCATTTCATTTTGTTTTTTGTTAACAGAGGTGTCACTTAAGGAATGGACAGATTTATAATGAAAGCATTCGATTACTTTAGTATCTGTTTGTGCTCATTTAAGAGAAAATTAGTCGTGTTTAAAATTAAACACGCAGGACGCATGTTTGCATTTTTTTTAGTGTATTCATCTGCTTAAACATACACAAATCCAAAAGTTTCCTGAACTTTCCTCTTTAGCTGCACTTTTAGATGGCATGTGCTGATCTGTGATCAGTTTATCATACAGAGCTCATCCGTCAGTCAGCACTTATACAGTTCATGCATTTATTGATTCAGAGGTTGCATAGGAAGGGTGATGATCGACGCACAGCTTTGATGAATAGAAAAACAGGAGGGTTGACATGTATGAAGTGAAAAAGAAGTGTCAAACAACAGTTTTGCTAGCAAATGCTAATATCTTTGCGAGGGAAGCAAAAACTTAAATAAATTAGAATCATTTAGCTATCAGTCTTTTTCTCTATCACCCATTTTTTTCTCCCACTCAATTTTTTCCTTCCACCTGTTTTTTCCCCCAACAACATGCAATGCATCGCATCAACGCAAAAACTACAACAAAAACTTATTTTCCTATCACTTTTTATCTTCCACTCATTTTTTTTCTCCCACTCAGTTTTTTTTCATCCACCTGTTTTTTCCCCACAATCACATCCCTTCCGAATCTCTGTAAAAACAACATGTGAAACTGAGAAACTGACTTTAAAAAACATGAAATGCATTTTAAACATAGAGACAGAAATAAAAATAAATAAATAAAACACTTAAAACTGTATTTGCTTTCTTTTATATTGGACTGAATTAAACCTGTAGTGTCTCTGCGTAAGTGTAATCAGACAGATCATAATGCAAATCCTTGAAACAGAAATAGATATTTAAAAAAAATAGCTTTCCGACATACTCTTTTGCTCACCAGATCCAGTGGATTCCTCTTTAGTGGTGACCTCCAGTCTGGGCCCGAAGATGCCATATCCGGCAGCGGTGAAAGCTCGGATCTGAAAGACGTACGCCGTGCTGGGCTTTAGATTATTGACTGTGGCTGAAGTGGACTTTGACTTCACGGTGGAGTAAATGCGATCCTTCTGGTCCTTCAGGTTCAAAAGAAGAAAACAAAATCACAATCTTGTCACACGCTATCAAAAGCACAAATTGTATAAATTCTTTACAGAGAGAGGGGTGGATACGCTCAAGTGTTTGGCACTGAATACTGGAGCATTTGGCCCTTTTCACACGCAAAGAGTTCAAGCAGAGGCAATATCACAGTATTTCATCCGTAGCCTGGTAACCAGAAGCAAGCTGTTTGAGAGGAGCCGGTGCTTCATTTATGATTGGAATGTCAAAGAGAGCTTGAGGAAACAAACACATGGACGCCTACTGAGGGGAGACTTTGGCTCTGTCCCAATTTGCATGCTATGCATTCTGTATAGTAGGTGAGATATAAGTTGGTGTGTCACAGTCTGTTGAAAACGGCATGCAGTAGATGTCTGAGGGTGATTTATTTTTAGTTTTTGGGTAATATTGCAAAAAAATTTGAGAGAAAAAAATGTGTAATTTAATGAACGTAAGCATTTATAGAACACAGATAAATAACATTGTCGGTTAAGGTAAAACGGTGTAAAAAAAAAATCAGGTAAAGAGTGCTAAATGCAACATGTAAGTCTTACATGTAAACACAACAGCTACCACACTGAGCTATAAAACTTAAAGAGATACTGTAGTTAACCCAAAAACGACAATTTACTCAACCTTCAATATTTATTACCTCAAGGGGTAATAAAGCTTTATGAGTTTTTTTCTTCTGTTACTGTTTTAGTTTGGGAAGGTAAATTCTGAGAAAGTGCCTCTGATGGTGAGGCACAGAAAGACACCTATATAGCTTCGAAAAGCCTTTTGCAGAAATCTTGTTTTGCATGCTATTACTTGACTTTCCCTTGGCCTGTTTTTTCCAGGTTATTACATAAATCATTTTACATGTTTATATATGGAAAAACAAATATTGAACAGCACTTTTTTTTTAAATACTTCATGATGTATAACTATTATTTATTTTTTTTTTATCATAATGCTTTCTAGATGGAGCATAGTAAACCTCAACAGGTCTTCTTTCCAATGATACCTGATTTTTGTTTGTAGCTCACTGGGGTCAAGAACTGTCACAATTCAAAGTTAGATTATAGCTATAAGTGAGTGCTGGCTAACACACAATATATATATATATATATATATATATATATATATATATATATATATATATATATATATATATATATATATTGAAGAAGGCTGAAAACATGCAACATTGGCATCCGTATTATAAGAAACAAATACCAGGGAAGTCAATAGCTATGTTCCTATATTTCCTCAATGGATATTAGGCCCTATTTACACTAATATGTTTTAGTTTTAAAACGGCATTTTAGAATGAAAACGATCTGCGTCCACACTGGTGTTTCACCAAGCGTTTCTGAACAGATCTCCGTCCACACTACACTGCTGATAACGCACATCATGTGCCCACACAGACTCTGGCATACGCTGTAGCTTATGCACGTGTCTGAGCTCCAGGCAGTCAGCGGGTGCTCTGCAGGCATTTTCCCAGATGAGAGCAGTGCAGGTCGGACAGTTCACCAATGATATTCCACTGGATTTCATCTCACTATAAACGTGATATTTAGTTCATCTTGTCTCTATCTAATGACTCCTTGGTCTTTTGAATCTATTACTTGTTCTCAGGCAACGTATTTTGGTTGAGCACAAAGATAAGTTAATATATTCATTTATGTAACCGCGTACACTGATTCTGCTTATTTGACTGACTGTTTGGCTATATTGTATAAACTTATTGTACATTATACCTTTATAATGGCCATTATAGATTATTGAAACAAGCAGTTCCTTATATCACATGTTCATTTTATTGTAAAAATGTGAGCAGAGTGATGTGAATGTTATAAAGTTATAAAGTACACAGTACCCTTTGAAGATTTACATGACATGTCCTCAGGAGGTGTTTTCAATATCAGACTTCTGAAGTCTGATCTTAAAGAAAGGATGCAAGACTGAACTTTGTGTAGGCTACTTAATATTGAGAAAAAGTCCCAATCAGTTGGCAAATGCTGCAGCCTTGCTCCGTTTTCAGATGTTTCTGTTTTCCCCCATCCACAATGAAATGGAGCAGCAGCATTTTAAAACCAAAATGGCCTCTTTAGTGTTTCCAAAACAATTAGTTTTTGGCGCTTGAAAACTCTGGGGTAGTGTGGACAAAAGACATAGCCGTAGCAAAACTTATGAGGTTTAAAACTAAAACAAATTAGTGTAAACAAGGCCTTATTTTGAGAAGAATGCACAGAAAGCACTTACTGCTTATTTTATAGATTGTATTGATTACAAAAACTGATTCTTTTGTTGTAATTATGAATATATAACAATAAAAATGGACCATTTACAGTTTCAAATCTGTGTTTATCTTATCAATATGAAATTAAGATTATTTTGAGGATCATCACATATATATGTGCATAAATAGATCCTAGAGAGTTAACACAATAAAGAAACTCCAACAAGTTAAGGATGAGTAATTGAATCTAAAAAAGTCATTATATTCATTTTTTTATTAGTTTTCATTTCAAAACTGAAGTAACATCATTCCCTAATTTAATTAATTTCATTTGAACATTCAGAAAATTTAAAAATAGCTACTGCAATTCAAGCTTTTACTAAATACTACAGTTACCCGAGGACACTAAAACACTACTTCTACAACATATAAAAACAAAAGAATATGCTGCGCTACAGTGTTTTCCACTGATCTGTAAATTATCTCTCCTGGACTTCAGCAGCAAAAAAAAAAAAAAAAACGCAACTCTTAAATGGCATGACACAGGCTGTTAGCAGTGAAGTCAAGCTTGCGTCTAATTTTCAAACAGGACGGACCACAGCCAGAGAGCTCCCCTCAAGAGACTTTTCTGCTTTCGCACACACTGCTTAAGAGACTGAACCCAACAGGCCGAGCACGAGCGAACAAACGCGCTGGACATTTCTGCTCACGCCTGACTAGCTGACATATGAGTCTGAAGCCAGAAACTATGAAGCTGCGCTTTATAATGGATGGCGGGTAGGACTGAGCAGCAGAGAGAAAAAGAAATTAAGTATGTGTGTGTGGGTGTGGGTATGTATGGTTTTTTGGACTATGATTCTGATTAATGTTTTAGTGGCACCGTGTGCATGCCTGCAAGGGATTGTGGGTTGTTTTTCATCGAACAGATGCTCAGGTACAATCCGAGACATTACGTGCTGCTCTTGTGTGCGCATTTCTGAAGTGGTCGTAGACGTGAATAACTAAGTGTAACTAAGACACTCTTGCGTATGTTTGTGAAGGACTTTGGTCTAATTAAAATCTTATGAGAGTCTCATTCATTATATCAATTAGAGGGGATGGATCCACTCAGGCCGGAGCATTTGACTGCGAGCGGCGTGCACAGAGAATGCAAATCATGAACAGAAATGATACATAAATATGAAGGATAGGAAAGGTTGAATGGGAATTGGGAAGCTGATAGACAGGTACTAACACACAGGCGTCGCCTGTGTCTGTCTCATTGTTTTTCTGAAATGCACACACACACATACACGCACATGGACATATTCATTAATAGCTCATGTTGAGGAGCAGGTGGCGTGTACTTACTTTCTCATAGTACTTGATCTCATATTCGGTGATGACGCCGTTGGGTTGATCGGGCTCCTGCCAGGAGAGCTGAACACTGTGCTGCTGAACTCGCTCCTTTATCACCTCGCTCACTTGAGACGGAGCTGAAAGAAACAGAGAAAGAATGATTTTGAGGTTTAGTAATTCAGAGCATATGCTAAAGTCAACCTTATTTTTGTAGCGCTTTCTACAATAGAGATTGGTTTAAAGCAGCTGCACTGTATTAAACAGGAAGGAAACAGAATCAGTGTGAACTTGGGAAATGAGGCAAATGCTAATTCTGCTATAATGCAGATGTGGCTGTGTTATCATTCAGCTCGAATTGGTTCAACATTGATTCAGTTTTGTTCAATACCGCAGTGTTCTTTAAGAAGCTATATTTATAAGGATAATAAATATTTAGAGCTCCGTATAATTGAGTACATCCCATTTTGAAAATTATTTTTTTTCGCCATTTCTCAGTGAATATAGGCAATGTGTTTTGGTGCATTTAAACAAAACAGATTTATTAAACAGATATATTTATTAAAATTATATTTTAGTCACCAAACAAATTTGGAAATTGAAAAGCTAAATATTGCCAAAATATTAATAAATTCAAGCTAAATATTGGCAAAAAAATTACAACCTACAGAATTTAAATTTTTTTTTTTTTGCTTCTCTTGATTTTTCCTCTTTTTAAATTTGTATTTAATATTTTTTCCCTAACATATAAAATTAGGTGTACTAGTTTTTGGACTGTTATTGCAAGTTATTTTGTTAGATAAGCTCCAAATATAACTTCAGTAGTGACTAATTTAATGTCTATGCACAAATATAATATTGTACAGCTTCCTATTAAAAACATTGATTTTAAAAGTAGATTTTTTTGAGGGGTGTACTTGTAAATGCTGAGCACTGTATAATCATAATGCAATGCTAAGTGACACATTTATACTTAAAGAAAAGTCTGTAAAATTTACGGTAAAAAAAAAAAAAAAACTGCCAACTCTGCCACCATTTTACGTTAAAACAGTAGAAAAGGTCAAATAAACAAATAAGGTAAACTAGTGTATTTTACTAACTTAAAGTGCTATAGTACACAACTACTAACACAATCGTGGTAATGCACATATAATTAAAGCTATGCAATGAACATTATTTATCAAAATTAGATAAAAAATAAAACTCTAAAGAACTGTACATAATAGCTAATAAAATGAACCATAGTAATGTCAATGTCAAGTGTCTTGCACGGAAAGTCAATTTATTGTTATTCACCATTATATAGGGGTGTCAAACTCCTGGAGGACCGCAGCTCTACACAGTTTAGTTCCAAAATTAATTAAACACACATAATCAAGCTAATTACTACTATTAATAACTAATTAAATGTTTTAGGCTTGTTTAAAACATACAGTGTGTTTGAGCAGGGTTAGAAGTAGAATTCATAGAATTTTAAAAACCCATATGACTTACTACTTCCAGGGAGATTCTGAAGTGCACATTTGATGTATGCTATGATATCCTATGATGTATCGCAAGAGAATTCATGAATAGGAGTGAAGCAACACAACTGATGTGTGTGGGTCAAGTGATGATGACACAAAGGTGGGTGTAGTACATCCCAGTTCCATTTATACTGGTCACAAGCATAGAGTATAGAATGTACTTTTCTAACGGCCAAATAGTACATTTAACTTTAAATGCAGTACCTACTGCATAGTAGTAGGCGTTTTCGGACACAGCCTTACTGTTAACCAGATTACATATTTTAAGTGTAGCTTTTTTACAGTTAAAATCAGTGAACTACTTTTTTACAGCATTATTTTAAATAGTATTATTTCTGCCCTATTTTGTTATAAGAAGCCACAACTTTTCACATAAGGAAGTCTTCATTGACACAATAATGTGAATTTAGAGTAAAATTGCCATACTTAAACACTATTCTAAGCTAAATGCATTCATGTTTATTAATTCTGACACTTACTCTTCATGCAAAAGTGATTCACTGGATAAAATAAAGATGAATGGTACTGTCTGCTAACATTGGTTTTTTCCTCCCACCTTTCTATAAATGCCACAATATATCATGTTTTTTTTTTAATAATTGTTTATCTCTACAATGTTTACTCTCTTGCATTTTTAACAAATCATCTTTTATATTTATAAACAGTACTTCTAATATGTTTCCATGAAAGGCATACTGACACAAACGCACCGTAATGTATTCATATACGCAGGACAAAAAAGCCTATTCCCTTGCTTTATTGCAAATTCAGTACCTGGTTGGCACAAATACACACAGACAGAATCGTGTGTCACTACGGCTGCTGCTCTGATGAATATTCACTTGGTGGCTGTTAAATGTTTACACCTCATAATGGAAATTTCAATTACTGAGCAAACAGCAGAAGACAGCCTTATCCCAGTCAGAGTAAAACTGCAACGTCTGGCTTATGAATGTCAATTAAGTCAAATTAATTCTGCCGACACATGCGGAAGCCCTTTTTAGAGAAATGTACCCTAACCCTGCTGCTGATTTTCCTGGCTTCTCATATATTCCTTCCTTTCCCGATCCATGTGCACTATTTTTTTTTTCCACCAGTGTACCATAATTGTCTTTAAATTACAAAGTTATTGAACACTTTGTGTGTCGGCTCGGTATACCATTTCCAAAAGCTGAGTGAATTTAAACCGAGAAGCTTGTGGGTAACCCAAATTAAATTCCTTGTTTTTAATAACCTCAGAAATAAGATCTGTTCGAATCTCAGAAGGTAACCTTCGGATAAGGACGTTCTGGAAGAAGTGCATGGAAATGTAGCGCTCATGCATGCGCCATTAATGAGCGTCCACTCTCAACGGACGTCTGTTAAAGTAAGAAAAGAGGGAATTCCCTCAAGTAGACGGGGAGGAAAAAGAGAATGAGGCTTCAAGAGGAATTTAACTGATCCGTTTGTGCAGCAAGAAAAGCGGCGACATCTCTGAATCGTGCTCAATGATCCGTCAAGGGCAAAGATCTGGGGTCACAACCAACTTTGACCTCATCACTGACCTTGTGGTAATGAGCAATTCAGGATTAAAACCACCTGGCACCATGCGTAGCAGTGCTGATCCAAAACCGCATGCAGTCAGATCGTGTTTTGACATATCTAGCGTAATCCAACTAAAACAATCTAATATCCCATCCAGATCTGACCAGTGAAGCTTTCTCTCTCACACACACACACACATACACGCACAGGTTTGTTTTTGTGAACTGTGGGAACATTACATAGGCATAACTGATTTTATACTGTACAAACTATATATTGCCTTATATTAACCTTCTCAAAAAATAAAAAACAACAACATCAAAACAACTAATTCTGTATGATTTTAAAAAAAAAGCATGTGAAAAATTAGAAAAATGTGGACACCTTATCCTTGTAATATCTACATCATACCCATTAGGGCAGCATGATATTGGAAAAAAACATACATTACAATATTTACATTTTCTGCAATTTATATTGTGATTTTTCACAAGATAACAATTATTTTAGATTGATAAATCAATACAAATTTATAAGTAGGATAAATCAATAAAGCACAGCAAATATAGAAAAGGAGTCTAACAGTTCTGTATCTACAGATACAGAAATAAAATAATCAAACAATAAAGCGGTATATTCTTCATCATGCAAATAATTAAATATGATTAATCTTTGTTAAAGCTACAAACATGATAATTCCTTGTGTTCAAATGCTTTAAAATCACTTAAAATGTTTACACAGGCCCTAAAAACACAAGCAACTGATAAGCTTTCACTTTATTAATGCTTAAACGACTCTAAAATTGTAATGTTTTAACTATAATCTTGACTCCACGTTGCAAATTCTGCAATGTGACTATTGCATGTACACACATTGTGATATATTGATGTGATATATTGTGCAGCCCTAATATCCATATTGTTATACAAATATGTGTCCTTATGTCACAAAAAACATGCAAACACACACACACACACACACACACTGCAAAACATGATTTTCTTACTTAGAGTTGTTGGCTCATTTTTAGTCCAAATATCTAAAAAATGTTAAATCATGCATCAATTTGGGAAAAAAAATTTGTAAAATTGAAATATATGTATTATTGCATTGTCAAAATATTGCTTTGTTTTCAGAAATAATAAGACAAAATTATCAAATTTTTCCTTTAAACAAGCAGAGTAATCTGCCAATGTGACAGATAAAATAATCTTATTTAAAACCAAAAAACAAGATTATTTTACTTGTGTGTTTTAAAGAGAACCCTACTGCATTTTGAATGATTATTTAAAAAAATATGAATATAAATAATTATAATAAAATAAATATAGACATTTATTTATATATTAATTCATAATTTTTTTTACTTGTCTAAAAAAAATGCTTTTTGGTTTACGAATGTTCAGATATTTGGACTAGGAACAAAACAAAAACATTTCAGCAGTGCACACATACAGCACACTGTGATCCAGCCTACATGATCATTTACAACAGCAGCCAAAATTCCTGGTTCTCCTTAAGTGGCAATTGAGTCAGAACCACCAGCTTCCATTTAACACCACAGCAATCATACTGATGCATTTAGAGACGTTAAATACTCAGTGTTTTAAACTCCCTCAGTTGGAAACTGTGCTGATGAAAAGGCTTGGGTGATTTCAGCAGTAGTCAAAGCAGTTCGAGCGCTTTAGAATCTGTGTTTGTTTTTCGCCTCTGTCCACATATATTGTATGCAGAGAGTGTCAATTACCCATGAGGAGTGGGGCGACGCAGGCAGGACACCAGCAATTTAAAGAGCACACTTGTACACCCCAGAACCAGATGTACTGGAGTAATTGGATCTTTTGCCCCTTTCCACTGACTGCTCCTTCTGTTGAGTTTCCTATGAGGTGCTTGACTGTCTCTCGCTGTAATAGCCTCGGCTCTTTTAACCTGATCTGGGAAATAAAAGTTGTGACTGTTCCTCTGGACTTACTTCTCCCACATGAAGTGTTTTCTTGTTATTTTTGTGTATCTTTTTTTTCATCCAGCACACCCTCTGACTTCTGAATCTAGTTACACTTATACAAACACACGTACACTGCTCTCGGGATCTCCGAGGCACATTTCCATTGACAAGTCAATCTGTTAGTCACTTGGATTTACTTGTAAAAGCACTAAACTTTGGCCCTAAGGTAACAGATATAGTTGGAGTTCTGACAAGCCTTGGTGGCCACTTGTTAACAATAAAGCTAAAAATATAGTACCTGTGACTTCAAACATGTCAGCGCTAGTGTAGAAGTGTACACTTATATTTGTAAAGAAAGTAGATCCTGTGGAAGCAAACATTAAATAAACAAGTTATTTTTAATGATTAATAATAAAAAATAGCTATGTATAATCATTCTAAGCAATAAAATATGTAATAAAATGTCTAAATTAATAAATAAATTAATTGAATGTATTTATGTATGTATCAAATGTATTTATTTTTTGTTTTAAACTTCTAAACAATTTGAATGTAAAGCTTTTATCAAAATGTGTTAGATCTGAGACAGTCGAATTGTATGGTAAAGTAGTTTAGTTTTTAAACTTCTCAGTCCGCTATCCCCAAAATAACAATGCCAGTGACTCACAACCCCCACATTCCTCGGAAGTGCTTGTAAATATACAAATGTTGCACACACAATAATAGGCCTATATAAACATGAGCATATTCACAACACAAGAGAAGTATAACAGTCTAACAACTATAGGTTGACATATATTTATATATATAATTTATTTGTTAAATTTAATATTTACTTTATTTAATGAGACTGGTGGGCACAATGTTTTCAGCACAAGTCTATGTATTTAATTTTGAGGACTGCCACTCAGAAATCATCCGCAATATTTAGTTGAGGCCTGTATTATTTTTTTATGTATTTGATTGACATAAAAGTTTCAGAAATGTTTACCTGGTGCTATAAAATCAATCTGCTGCAGCTGACGCTATTGCTAAACTCACCAATCCTATGAAAAAAATGAAAGGGTGATGGCTTTTTAGTTGCATGTTGTTGCTTTTTTTTATGCAAGTAGTAAGTACTATTTTTATGTTTTGAAATCACCAAGCAACCCCCTATCATTGTTCCACAACCTCCACTTTTACCCTGATTTAATACCACTGATTTAGAGAGCTGAACTGATTATGACTGACTGATAATCTTATTTTATATATCTATCAATATATTATATATTTTAATGAAGAAAGTGTGTGTGTATGCTTAACATTTTGTAATAAAAGTGTAATCAACAGAAAGTACAAGTGCAAAAAAGCACACTGAATGAACTACTGAATGAAGTTACACACACGCACATGCACATTCAGCAAATATAAAATACCTGGGCTCTATCCTTGAAAATGTATTTTTGTTGAAAAAGAAAATGAGAAGAAAAGATTGGAATCATGATCTACAATAAGAATTTATGTCTATGAACAACTTTCCAAATGTTCTTCTGCAGTATGTCCAAAACGTGATATATCCACAGATTTTAATTAACATATTGAAGTTAATTTATAAAAGCTAATGACTGGTATACACTACCTGACTAAAGTCTTGTTGTCGATCCCAGTTGTAAGAGCAACAAATAATAACTTGACTTTTAGTCGATAATGAGGAAAAGTGTCAGAAGGTAGTTTTTTCACATGAATCATCTGTTGAACTTCCCAATCATCACAAATACTGCAGAAAACCTATATGAACCCGCATGGATCCAAGATTCTCACAGAAATAAGTCAAGTTTGATGAATAAAAAATCCTAGTTTGGAGTTACATTCAGTATGTGGGCGTGAGAGAGATATTTAGAGCGTCTGGCAACATCAACAGCCTGAGTTATCAAGACATTTGTGCTGTCCATTACATTACAAACCACAGGAGAGGCCAAATTCTTCAGCAGCATAGCGCTCCTTCTCATACATCCACATCAAAGTTCCTGAAACTTTGATGTGTTCCAGCCTAGTCACCAGATATGAACATTATTGAGCATGTTTATGGTAAGAATAAGAATAAGGCATTGAAGATGAATCCAAAGAATTTTGATGAACTCTGGGAGTCTTGCAAGAACACTTTCTCTGCCATTTCATATGACTTCATTAAAAAGTTATTTGAGTCATTGCAGAGATGTATGGATGCTGTCCTCCAAGCTCATGAGAGTCATACACAATATGAATTATTTTTCTAAATCTAGAGGCCTTTGCCTTTCATTTAAGCCACTTCTGATGCCAAATGATCAACTAGAAGTCAAGTTATTATTTGTTGTTCCTAAAACTTAAATAGACGACAACACTTTTGTCAGATAGGGTACATTTTACCAGATGAAATATGACTGATGTGAAGCAATCACATTAATTATTTTTGGTCATGGCTTCTAAGTGAGATCATGCTCTGAGAAAGTTCAAAAAGGAGTTGTCGCAAGCAAAAAAGCCCACAAAAATGGCCTGACAAAATCAATAATACAGAACAGCCATCTCACAGTTTGTTTGCTGCTACAACCTATGCCTTACGACACATTGATAAATGTCAAATGGTGCCAAAAATTTTATTTCCCATTGCAAATTTTGCATATAAGTTGGCCTCTCATCTCTCTTTTTTTATAGACCAAATTTGTTAATGTTGTAGCCTTCAATTCAATGTGACTTCATTCTACAGTCCACATACATGTCATATACTGTATATCCATGTCTAAGATTGCAAATGAAGGCTTCAAACACAAATATCTAAACACACTTCCAACTTTATTTTCATATTTGACATTATTCACAGCACATTTTTCATCAAAACTTCATCATACAGAGCAGCCTCTTATTTCAGCAGCACAGGACCGGCCGTGTCCCATCTCTCTGTAGAGAACCAGCCGAGTAATTGAGAATCGAGCGCGGTGACAACCCTCGTATCGACTAAAATCTGCGAGCTGCAAGAGAGACCCTGAGTTCAGTGTTAATATGGAGGAAATGTGTCCCTCACTGCCTCTTGGTGCCACCTTCCCTGTGGTATGTTTAACCACTGCCCTATAACAACCATTAATGACATGCTTACCTCAGAGCGACTCAACCCACTCCTACTTTTATCGCACGTAGAGGGGCCAAACGCAGCAGAAAATCGTATAATTGTCCCGTCTGTCCTGAAGCGAGAGGGGGGGGGACGTTTTGTGTGCAGCGACTGGGTGACATAAAAGCAGATATTAGTGACCTTCTCGAGCCTCCTAATGCAGAAGTTAATTCAAGCAGAAGCAAGCGTCTATCATGTTCTGCATTAGAATAAATTAGGAATGCATTATGCATGGATGTTTTCATATATACGCTCGGGCTCCTTTTCTCTCGGTGGCATTTCTGGAGTATCTAAAAGCGCAGAAGCACTAGAATGACATTATATAAGAAAAATCATTTTTTCTCTCTGTGCGTCGCTGGCGCAGTATTAACTTTGAAGTATTTTAATTATCCAGCCACTTAAGTCAAGGCTGACACTCTCACGTCCGCGACTTCTTTTCATCCACCTCAAAACTATTGAATAACTCTCTTATCGAGAGACGAGGCTCCAGAAACACGTTCTTAAGTGCTGCATTGCAGTTCCTGTTCTCTGACAGGAGCCACAAGACCGAAAGAATGGAGGTTTCACTTCAGCCAAGGGCAAAGGAATGTTCCTGAAAGCATGTTATAAACCTTATCATCCTGCCTCATGAATATTTATGAGGCGATGATAATGTTCGCCCAGTAGTTGTAACTGGTTTGCTTGAACAGCGGGGTGGACGCACGGTTTGTTTGATGGATTGTTGATACTACCAGCTTCTACTTAGATGACTGTGAGAAAGGGCTGTGCGTTTTTTTTTTTTTACAGATATTGCAATTTTTGATTTGCAATTTAATTTGGTAGTCAAGCTTCAGCTCAATAGTATCTATTGTAACTTATTTCTGCAAAAATGCAGTAAGTGTTTCCTTATAAAAGGATCTGAAAAGATATTAACTTACTCCAAAATGTATTCAAATTTCCAGGTTGGAGGAAAGTCCTTACCCCAGGTGGGGGAGTTTAAGTATCTTGGGGTTTAGTCCATGAGTGAGGGAAGGATGGAACATGAGATTGACAGGCGGATTAGTGCAGCGGCAGCAGTAATGCGGTCGATGTACTGGTCTGTTATGGTAAAGCAGAAGCTGAGCCGACAGGCAAATCTCTCAATTTACCGGTCAATCAACGTTCTTACTCTCACCTATGGTCATGATATTTGGGTCATGACCGAAAGGACAAGGTTGCAGATACAGGTGGCCGAAATGAGTTTCCTTTGCACGGTGGTAGGGTGCATCCTTATGGATAGGGTGAGGAGCTCTGTCACCCAGGGGGAGCTCGGAGTAGAGCCACTGCTCCTCCACATCGAGAGAAGTCAGCTGAGCCGGCTTGGGCTACTGTTTCGAATGCCTCCCGAATGCCTTCCTAGGGAGGTGTTCCAGGCATGTCCCAAAGGAAGGAGGCTTTGGGAAAGACCCAGGACATGCTGAAGGGACTATGTCTCTCGGCTGGACTGGGAATGCCGGATCCCCCGGAAGAGCTGGAAGAAGTGTCTGGGGAGAAGGAAGGCTGGAGTTCTCTCCTAAGACTGCTGACCTGGCCCCGGAAAAGTGGTTGAAAATGAATGAATGAATGAATGAATGTTTATAAATATTCATAAATGAAACACTAATTTTTCTCTAGAGCAAACAGCAGTGACTTATGGCGTTAGTTATCTTCTGGTGCCTTTGTGATGTTTTTTCATATGATGTAACAGCTGCAAACAGCTCTGAAATTGTACTTTACTGTTGCTGTTTGCTAGCTACTACATTGAGTGTAACTGGCAATACTTTTAGTTGACATTTTAGCAAGACAGTCCTCATAAAGCTGTCTGTGGTGCTTTTTTAGGTGCTGGTTGTTGTATGTCCTCATGCTGTGGCAACAATTTTTGACGGCTCTTACAAATTTCCTGTTTTTGTTTGGTGTCTCTGACTTTAAAACCATTCCCATATTACCGACATGCTCTTTTTCTTTTATATGAATTTGTCTGTTAATGCTTTTAAATCGGCTGAATCATCATCCCACTTGTCTGCGCTTTCCTGTTTGTTTTATTGTGGGCTTTCCGCATAGTTCGGCAGTGCAATTCTGATTGGGCAGAACAAAAGTTTGCTCACTCAATTGGCTAGTAAGACTGTCACACACAGACCGCAATCACACATTTGCTCTGACTGTAGGAAATTTTATAATACAAATAAATTTCATATCGCAACGTTTCAGATCTCGATTGCGATTCATTTTTAATTAATTGCACAGCC